TAGTTAGTCACGATTTAAAACTACGGCACATTGTCGCGTAGTTTCAGTTCCTTATGGATGATTCGCAGAGCCTTTACTAGAATCATCAGAAATATGTTCACCTCCTTATATACATCTCTGGTGAGGTCAAGACTAGAAAACTGTATCCAGACAGCCAGTCCTCGTCTTAAAGGGGATTCACACATTCTAGAAAGGGTTCAAAGGAAGGCAACACGTATGGTTCTCGGCATGACCAAATTATCATACGAGGAAAGACTAGACAGTTTAAATCTCTTCTTCCTGCCATAATGTAAGCGGAGAGGAGATTTAATCACAACGTTTAAAATTTTAGATAATGGCAACGGACCTAACCTATTCCTTATCTTTCTTCCCACCAGGTCGGAACACCTCAGATGACATAGCAGGAGAGTTGAAAAGCCATGAAGAAATCCTATTGCTGTAGAATGCTGATTCTCACACCGAGTCATAACCTTCTGGAACCGACTCCCAGAAGAAGCCTCAGTCGGTTCATTCGAGAAGGGCTCGCAGAAGCATAGAAATTTGCTGGAAAAGGAATACAATGGCTCAAAGCATTGCATCCTCAACAAATAAATATGAATCTGACATTGTCTCATAACTTCATATAACCAAATCAGTTTACAGTTTACAATTTATTTAGGATAGTAGGCTATATGCCTGTGTTAATCCTTTCGATTTATTTTATACAGGAGGTCCAATCTCGCCTTGAATGAATCAACGGATGGCGCTGATACGACATGTTCCGGTAGGGAGTTCCAATGGTTCACAATTCGATGCGAAAAACGGATTTCCAGACGCAGACGATTCGACCGTGGTTTTTGAACCTTGAGGTGATGTCCTCGCAATTGGTTGGTGCTAGAAGGAAGAAATAATTTAGATAAATTAGCTCCAAAATCATTTCTTAGGATACGGTATGCTAGTATTAGGTCACCCCTAAGTCGTCTGTATGACAGTGGAAATAAACCCAGTCGACTTAACCTCTCCTCATATGACAGGGTTGAGAAACCCTTTATTAGCTTAGTTCCTACTCTTTGCACCCTTTCTAATAAGTCAATTTCGTATTTGAAACACGGGCTCGCTGCCTGGATCCCATATTCCAAATGAGGTCTGATATAAGTCGGATATAATATACGAAATATATCAGCGTCAAAGTTCGCAAAAGCCTTGCGTATGGCCCATAACATTCTAAAACCCTTAGTGGCTGCAGTTCTACAGTTTGTTGCTGTTTTCAAGTCATGCTGCACAACCACTCCCAAGTCCTTGTACTCAGTGACCACTGGGAGAGTAATGCCATTCATTGAGTAATTGTGCACGTGACTATGGGATACATGCATAACTACACTCTTGCTTAAGTTAATCTCCAAGGCCCAGCGCTTACACCAATCACTTAACAAGTTTAAATCTTCCTGCAAAGCAAGTTGATCACTGTCATCGTGCAAAGCCCTCCATATCTTGATGTCATCAGCAAACAGTAAGCAGGATGACTTAACTACCGATGGAATCTCATTAACATAAATCAGGAAAAGAAGTGGGCCTAGAATTGTACCCTGAGGAACGCCACTCTTAACCGATTCCCATGTTGATAAAACCCCGTTAACTCGTACTCTTTGTCTTCTGTCCTTTAGAAAGTCTTGAATCCAGTCGGTAACCACTTTATTGATTCCCAGACTACCTAACTTTACTAGAAGACCTGAATGAGAAACCCTGTCAAACGCCTTGCTAAGGTCTATGAATATGGCATCCACCGGTATATTAGCATCAGCTGAGCTTGCCCAACTTTCTCTGGCCAAAAGAAGGTTGGTCAAGCAAGAATGACCTGCTCTAAAACCGTGCTGTTCCACAGCGAAAAGTTTGTTCCCTTCAATGAACTGAATGATAGCATCACGAATTATTCTTTCTAGTAGTTTAACAACAATACTGGTCAAACTAACAGGACGATAGTTCTGAACTAAGTTTCTAGATCCGGTTTTGAAGACCGGACTAATGATGGCATCTTTCCAGTCTCTTGGACATTTAGACTGGTCCAGAGACATATTGAAGATTACCGACAATGGCTCGGCTATGCTTTCAGCCAATGCTGTTAATATACGTGGGTGGAGTTCATCAGGGCCACTGGACTTACCAGGATTGAGCCTTAGAAGCCACTTTAGGACAGTATCCTTTCCAATGTATAAGGGTGCCATTTTCAAGTTACCTTCTGGAAAATTTACAAAGCTGGTATCAATTTTATCAGAGAATACTTGACTAAAGTGCTTGGACAAAGCCTCAGCCTTGGTCAAGTTATCCTCAGCCATGTTTGTCTGGTCATCTTCAAGCATAAGAGGTGGGATAGCATCACTCTTACGTGTTCTTCTCTTGATATATGAGAAGAGTCTTTTTGGGCAGCCTGGTGAACTTTTAACTAACTGGGTTTCGTAAGCTATCCTTGACTGGTGGATCAAAGTTTTACACTGGTTTCTGGTTTCACAGTATTTCAGCCGGAACTGCTGTAGCCCAGTAGAAACAAAGAGATTCCAGAACCTTTTTCTCCGTCTCAGGAGTGTTATAGCTTGTCTATTTATCCATGGTGGCCGATTTGTTGGCCTTTTAGGAACCCTCCAGGGGATGAGATCAGTGGTAACCCTCTCAAGTGTATTCTTAAATCTATCCCATTCATCTTCAATGGATGAGACAATGTTGACTGACCAGTCGGCAGTTGAAGCACGCTCCTTTATAGCCACTATGTCAGCATGCCAAACACTAGGCCGGGATTTGGGTTGAAAACTGACTAAATTGCCAGCCCTTAAGTTAAAATCTAACACCCCATGATCACTGTTTGCTAGAGGTGGATGAATAACTAGACCATCCACGTCGTCGTTGTCATGAGTAAGCACTAAGTCCAGCAAGGAAGATCCTTGGGTAGAACCGAATCTTGTACTACCTAAGACATGTTGTGTCAGGGCATTTTCCATGGTTGTCAAGAGTAACCGGCTGTCAAACTTATCAGCGGATCCTGGAGATGTGACAGCTACCCAGTCTATATGAGGTGCATTAAAATCACCTAGAATAAGACAGCTACTGTGTTTACTCCATTGTTTGAGGTGATCTAAAATGAAGTCATCACACTGACAATAGGGACTTCTATACAGAACTCCAATGAGTAGAGTGCCGGTTGCAAAGCTTACTTCACAGCTAATTACCTCACCTGTCCCACTGTCATGAGCTTCAGATTTCACGGAACGAACATGTAGGGAGTTGTTGATGTACAGAGCAACCCCGCCACCTCTACGACCCTTAACTCTGTCGCTGCGCAAGCAACTAAATCCGCATAGCTCAGGTGTGTCATCTAATCCCGAAACCAGCCATGTTTCAGTAATGGCCACAATACCTGGGCTAAGGTCTTCTACTAATACACCTAGCTCGTGAAATTTGTTCCCGATACTACGTATATTAGTGTACACTACCTTCAGGCTTCCTATGCGGTCTGGCCTATCCACACAGGTCTTGGAAGCATACGTTTCCAAGACCTGACTATTTGAAAACCCACCAGTTTAAGGTTAGTCTCACCATTTTTGCGTCTTGTTTCTAGCTGGGACAAAACTTCTTTTCGTTTAAGTCTGTCTTCAAGAGATAAATCAGGTCTGGCTGAAATTCCTGACCCGGCAAGGTTGTGTACATTAGCCAGTAGATGATTCCGTTCATCAGGAGAACCTAAGACTACTTTAAGCAACCTACGCTGATTAGAACATTCATCATCTCTTTTGCCTATTCTAATCAGCTTTTTAATCGATACTCCAGGGAAATTCGCTGGGAGCATCTTCCTTATAATACTACTCACTAATTTAAGGTCGTGATCGTGCCTTTTCACGGGATCAGATTCTTTGGACTCTTCCAAATTTCCAACAATTATGTTAGAGTCTAAGGAGAGCTTGTCGTATTTAGCAGTGGCTACGTCCTTTCTCACCACTATTGATGCAGCCTGGCTACAGGTGACAGACGTTTGCCTACCATCAATATTACTATATTTTTTCGACTGCTTATTTTTGTTACCCATTTATCATCTGCCTGCAGTTGCTTCTCAGGGCTGCTGCAGTTTTTGATGGTACAATCAAGATCAGTGTCTGCGCCACCTTCATGGTGAACTTCGCTTACGGTGTTCTCTGGTTCTGAGGTGCTGTTTACAGCTTCCGTTTTTTACCTTTTCGCTTACTAAGACGCTTCGAACGCCTAGTAGGTTTTACTTCCGGGGTAACTGGGATAGTAACCGCCGGTGTGATAACATTCATGATGGCACTTACTGCTTCATCTTCAGACGGGCAGTCCGTGTCACTCTTACTAGCCACGCTATCATCAGGAAGTTCCATGGCTTTAGACAGCAGTTCGTGAGCCTCCCTTATTAAGGTCATCTTTGGAGAGCAACACATTCTGCACATCCAGTGGGATGTTGGAGCAGTACAGCGTTTGTATGCAGCTGGACGTAATCCAGTACACATCTTATGATACCATTTTTCACAGTTATTACACTGTATTCCATCATCTACCAAAAAGTAACACTCCGCCCTATTACATTTATGTGGTACTTTTGACATCATGAAATTCTACTGGAAACAGCCAAGACAATTTACCCAATATAGAATATATAAGTGGTTAAAATCAAAACTTAACAGACAAAAGTCAAGTTAAAGTTTTTTTTAAATGTTCTTGAAGTGAATAACACAACAAAACAGCGATTTGTCAAAAACGTGAAATACGTGAAAAAAGCACTCCCTTTCAAACAGCGCGCGAGTCAGGCCGTCTAAGTAAAGCTACGAGAGTTGGGCGGCCGGACATACTACGAAAAAGTTTACTGAAGATCAACAGCCATTTTCCTATGACTAAGAAGTGAGCGCAAGGAATTCAATTTGATTCACACTCCCCCGTAAAAATCGATATTGGAGATTGGACGTCAGACCTTGAGTACGCCGAGGTTACATCTGGTTAGTCGTTTGACCATTAGTGTAGTCATTGAGGATTGATAATTTTCCTTGTAAGATACAGAAGATATGTAATAATTTCCGTATAAGAGTTGCACTCAAAACATTCTCGGGGAAATACGCAATTATATAAAATGTCAATGTCTCACAGGACTTTGGCAAAGTAGATGCAGCCATTTTAGGGCTATTTGGAACGTGGCAACTCGAACTGCTGCACTTCGGTGCCAAGTTCTATGTTGAATCCAGACAGACAGACATTTTAGGGCCTGCAGGAAGTTTCAATCTGCGGTGACGACAGCCAGTGGTATCCACGTTGCTCGCGATATCCTATGTCAGCCAGCACTGGCTTTAGGCGTGTTGCAGAAAACTTAGGGTAGACTATAGATGACTCCCACGTTTTGTAATGCACCCGAAGATTTCGCCCTGAAAATTCTGCAGTGCGCCAGAAGAAAGTGCTATGATGACATCATTACGGATTTAACTGTACAGCTTAATTCATTTGACAGGCTAACTATCCCGACTTTCAGACCAGTACATACATCCAGTGGAGCCTAGGAGACATGCCTTGAGACGGCAGTATGAATGTTTATTTTTCCAGTCGTTTTTGGAAGGTTTATCACCGATTCAGATTTATTATTTTTTTGATATGGGTTGAGTTCTGGTCCAACACATCATTCTGCACGTTCCGTATTCCTCCTGGAGTGTGATAATGTCCTCATAAATATTACGGGAAATGAATGTTATGGCAGTTGTATACAGGTTGGAAGTGGTCTTCGTGAATCTAGGCTTCTGCTTCGTGTAAATTAAGCAATTTAAAAAAACAACAGCCGAGAGTAAGGACATACTAAATTGCTCCGAGAAAACTTTGTATAATAGATAAGAATATGCACTGGATTAGTGAAAAAGTAATCTGTTCAAACTCAGTGAAGGTGATTGCCTTACCCTCAAAATTTAGTAGTATATTAACATTTTATAGGTAGTTTCACTAAATAACATAGCCACCTTGTTTTTAGGACATTTAAAGACACTGAATGTGAATATTTCGGTGCTGTGATGATTTTGAAGCGAGATCTGACGTAGTGGTTAATAGCCTCTACTTTGAATGTTCCATAATCTGAGCACCTGTGCACACTTAAGAGACGTGACTTGTTTGCGTTAGCATTCAGCTTTTAAACCCACGAGTTACACACACCCCAACTTCAATGTAAACAGCTTGTTAGAATCAAAGTAAGTATAGATTATGTCCTTCTAGATGAAAGGTCTTTTTCAGATGACTGAACTCACGTTTAAAGACACAAATAAACTGTTTTAATGATACGATAACTTTGTGTCCTATTTTTCTTTCAGACAATGTTATTCGCAAGGGGCAGTTGTAGTAAGTTGTCACCACATTTCATTTCTAGATTTATTTCGCTCAATGATACATTCTGTTTGCAGTCAGAAAGTCTTCGACAGTACAAATATACCAGACTTAGTCAAGAAGTACACGTCTCTAAAAGACATTACGGAGAATTCTCCAGAAACGAATATGTAAATTGTACATTTCATCATAATTGGAAAATTAGTCTGGGTCATAGCATAATAACGGAGGATTGTTTATCTTCAATAGTAGAAAACAAACAATATTACGAAATGCCTATCCTTCATTTATCAGCACGGAAGAATAATTTAATTGCTACACTAACTGATTGTAACGGGAGAGTTTTGAGTGGTACAAGTTGTGGTGCTGAGGGCTTCCGGAATGCTCGCAAAAAGTCCACGGTTGCTGCTCAAACTGTTGGCATTTCTGTAGGACTGAGAGCCAAGAAACTAGGGATTAACTCTGTGCGAATCGTATTTTCTGGACGTGGTTCAGATAAACTGGTAAGTATTTTGCTGTTCTTTGCTGATATTATAGTCTGTACTTTCTGGCCTAAATATTTCTGGACTGAAGATAATCTCTTTAACAGACGATACAAATGTTCATTATGGTCATGGAAGGAGGCCTAGAAAGCCACGCAGAATGTAAATTACTTGTATATATACTTCCTGTATTTCTTACCAAAACACTGTACATAAAATATACCATAGTCAATTTATCACACTGTTACAGACATCTTTTGCATTTATTAAGCTTCAACTGCATAGATTTTCTTTCTATAAAATGCCGTGTTCACAGGTTGCAGGCTATTTTTTTAATGAAGGTCCACACAGAAATGTCAGACGTCAAAACTACTATTCCTTACAGAATCATGTAAATTATCCGGATCTACCCAACATCATCACTTATTTGGATAAGCTACTGTATTGTCGCATTGTTTGCATTGTACGCGTATCCATAGTTTGTAGGAATTCATCTCTCTAGTATATTTTGGCAAGTCGAGTACAAGAGGTGTGTCTACAGACTAAGAAGTGATGGGTTATGAAAACCAAAGAAATCAAGAAGGTAGTTGATGGTACTAATTTGTTCAGAACCAACTGCCGACAAGTATTTAGTTAAAGTGTTCAAGGATGTTAAAAACAAGTAACTCACAGTAAAAGAAACTGCCCTTGTGTGAATAACACTAAGAGTAGGTGTTCTCAGCCTCTCATTACTCTTCTATTATCTTCAGTCAGATTTCAGACTAACTCGAATAGTTTCAGTAGTGATGAGGCAATGACACAGGTCGCCCATCTCTTCAAAACTTAAAACTGGGGAGTCAAAAGTGAGAAGGACAAGCGGTTCAGATGATGAATGGAGAATTATTTCTTGGCGTCTCAATCTTCAAGGGACGAATTAAACTCCCCTAGAACACACAGGTTTTACGGTGGATTTGCGCAACACAATTCAAACAATCTGATCACAGCACTTTTCATAATAATAATATGTGTGAAAGTACGAGAATAGACATAGGTCAAATTAAAAGACTATTGAAGGTAAACATAACAGTGGAGATCAATAAACCAAAGAAGGGAGATAATAGTGTATCTACCCTGGTTTCAAAATAAAGTTTACCAAGGAAGGTTTGATGTGATGACGAATTATTTTATATAACACATAAATGTGGTTTAAATTTCCTAATCGCCTAGGGCTTCCACCAACGTTAGAATCCATCCGAAAATCATTTTATAGGTAGGTTTACAAGGTCCGTAAATATCAATTTTATTTCCTGTCTCTATAATATGCTTCGCAATAGAACAGTTAGGTTGTCTGTTTTCACCGTAAATTGGTTAAGGGAATAGTAAAGTAATTAGGAGATATATCTGTGTGAATAAAAAGTTTTATGAGAATTAACGAGTCCTGTGCTAGTTTGTTTATTGGGTAAATCGGACACTATTATTTACAGGATGTTGTTAATGTTCATGTCAGTTGTAACTAAACAACTTGGGAACTGTTCTTTTCTATTGTGTGACTTATGTAGGGAAATTGCTAATAGTGGATTCACTAGCCCACATAAACCTGTGCTATCAAGACATTATTTCTCTGCCTTGATGGAAGAGCATATTTACACCACGATCATTTTGTTTCAAAGCACTGCCATTTGAACAAAAGACTTCATCAAGGTTAGGGGTACTGACCGATAGTAATCCGCAGGAACAGATCGTGGTAAAATTAAACTGGAAGGAAACCATGTCTGGTCAGTTCAAAACATGCCACAATTATGTAGTCTTTGAGTAGTTCTTCAGTCACTGCGTAGTTCATTATGCTTATCGACGAGGAGAAGTCCAGTCAACGTACAGTACACAGATGGTATTGCTCTTATAAGCAAAGATGCCAACAAAACTCAGACTATACCAGATAGAAGTCTAAGTATATTCGCAGCAATCAGTCGTTAGAGGACTGAACTGAACGTGTCGACTACTTCATTTATTTGGAATGTTCCAAAAACTAATGCGCTGGTTGACAGCAAAATCTAGGCATTCGCTCAGTAGCGTTATCTTTCTGCACCAGCGCGGTGTCCGCCTGTCCATCGAACACCTATCTGTCTGGTTTCAACAGAAAACTTTGAAGCAGTTCGAGTCGCCATACTCCATGTAGCACACAAAGCAAGAGAAGAAGGTAAAAAGAAATGCAAAATGGAGACAGTAAACAGAGATATGAGGGAAAAAGAATAGTAATATCGAAGAACAAGGAGTGGATACATTTACGCCAGCTATTGAGAACGATTTTGAACCATATCACCAATCTTCTCCAGCCATTGGTTTTTATCGTCATCCCGAGGACCCCAACCAGTCAGGAAGTCTACACCTTCCTACGTGGCTGGCTGGCTTAAACTAACTGTTGTGGATTTCATTGACTGGTGCCAAGTTTTTGTTTGACCGCCGCTAGCTTTATTCCAGCCTGACCCTATATCCGCTAACATTGCTCGTCGAGGGAGGCGATGGCTTGGCATACGTAACACATGTCCTAACCATCTCAGTCTTTGTAGCTTCACGACTTCGTCGATTGATTTCCCCTGTTTACCTAGAACTCTACGCCTAACCTCCATGTTGCTCACCTTATTATGCCACTTTACACGGGAAATAGAACGCAGGCACCTATGATCAAAGACAGCTAGTCTTTTCATGTCTTCCACTCTCAGTGGCCAGGTCTCACAACCATAAAGGAGGACGGAGCGGACTGATGAGCAGTACACCCGCCCTTTGGTCGATAGTCGAACATCTCGTCTACGCCAGAGTCGGCGTAAACTAACAAATGCGAAACGAGCCCCTTGTATTCGTGCTGAGATTTCGTCAGAGATCAGCCCGTTGGTGGCTGATGGTACTTCCCAAATAAGTGAAGCGGTCAACGTGCTCTACCACTTCACTTCCTATTTTTAAACTAGGCGTCGATGTAGTCCAGTCCTGTAACATCATCTTGCATTTGGCGGGAGCGAATCGCATGCCAAACATTCGTAGATTGCGGCTCAAGGTGTTTAGAAGACTCTGCATTTCGTCAGCGTCTTCGCCTAGAAGGACTATATCGTCTGCATATTCCAAGTCAACGAGATTATTCCCCGGTAGCAAGTCAATCCCTGAGTCGCTGAAGTCACTTAGGGTTAAGTCCATTAACACATCTATGATGAAGTTGAATAGAAAAGGGGATAATGGGCATCCTTGACGGACACCACTGGTCGTCATCAGTTCAGATGACAGCTCGCCGTAAGCCCTCACCTGGCTGTATGAGTACGAGTAGAGTGCCTTAATCAGTGCAATATATTTTCTTGGAATTCCCTTTACAGCCAAGCATCTCCAGAGAACTTCCCGATCGACAGAGTCGAATGCTGCCTTTAGGTCAAGAAATATAATGACTGTTGGACGCCGGTAGGAATGCCTATGTTCTAGAATCTGTCGGAGGGTGAAGATATGATCAATACACCCTCTTCCTGGTCTAAAGCCTGCCTGGCTCTCTCGTGTTTGTGCTTCCCGAGCACCACTCAGTCTACGCATGATTATTGAGCCTAAGACTTTAGATACTATATTAGTCAAGCTAATCCCTCTGTGATTATCACAGGAAGACTTGTCTCCCTTCTTGTATATGGGGATAATCAGTGACTTACACCAACCCGATGGGACTTCTTCTGATTCCCAGACGCTGCCTAGTACCTCAGTTAATCCGGACAGTAAGCTGTCTCCACCGTACTTAAATACCTCTGGAGTCATTCCATCAGGTCCCGCTGCTTTGCCTAGTTTCAGATTGGTGACAGCTTTAGTAACCTCAGTTAGTGACGGAGGACCTGTGTTTATATCCCATTCAGGGAGGTGTTGGATGCTCGGAAGGTTGAGCGTGGCTGTGGGCAAATTAAACTGCTCCTCATAATGCTCTTTCCAACGATCCAGTCGTCTATCCTGGGAGCTAATTATAGTGCCATTTTTTTCCGAGATTGTCTCACTGATGATTTGTCTTCTCCCACCCGTTTCCCTGATGAGTCCAAAGAGTTGCCTGGTGTTGCCTATCCTCGAAGCTTTCTCCATCTCTTTGGCTTTTGTCGCCCACCACTGTTCACGGTCCTTGCGGAGACTTTTCGTAAGTTTCCTCTTGTGCAGCTTTCGCTCCTCATTGAATTCGGAGCTCGCCGGAATAAGTCTTCTAGCATCTATCAGTTCGGATGAGGCGGTGGAGATCCAGTGGTTTTTACTCACCTTTGGGTTTACCTTATTCACAGCTTTTACAGCTGTATCTATGGCTGCCTGGATATTTTTCCAAGCTTCTTCAGGGTGAGCACAGCTGTCGAACACAGATATGTGTTTAGCTAGTTCTTCCTGAAATACGGATTTAGTTTCCTGATCGAGCTGGGGACGTGATGGTTTTACCGCCAGCTGTTTCCTACGTCCGTTCAGTCGTAAGCACACCCGAGCGCGGACCAGTGCATGGTCGGTATCTACGCACGTGTTCCAGAAGGAGCGACAATCTCCTACCGACCCACGCCAACGATAGCTTATTGCTATGTGGTCTATTTGTGTCCAGCGTTGGTTTGATGAAGGGGGTCTCCAAGTCAAACAGTGTCTCTCCTTGTGTTTAAAGTTAGTGCTTACAAGAAACAAATGATTATCAGAGCAGAACTGTAGGAGACGGTCACCGTTGTCGGTTCGCTGGCACGGAGCTCCATAGGTGCCACCGACATCCTTCTCAGATTGACACAATTTCCCTACTTGAGCGTTAAAGTCACCAGCTAGAACGACTATGTCTGAGCGTTTAGCCTTTCCACCAAACTAGACAGCTTTTGGTAGAACTCATCCTTCGTTTCATCTGAACTGCAGTCAGTGGGGGCGTAGGCGGAGATTACGAAAAGGCATCGGCGAGTAGTGCAGTCCTTCCTCCTTCTTACTGATCCGTTCAGGCGGACAGCACACATTCGGCTATCTACCGGGATCCAGTCAAGCAATGTCTTTTCTGCCCTAGTACTCAAAGCTATCCCTACGCCAGCTAATCCTCGTGAACTAGCTGTGGCATCTCCTGACACCCTCAAGGTGAATTTTGCAGATTCAACCTGTTGGCCAGGTGGGGTTAGGTGAATAACCACACTTGGGTCTTGTATGCGTGTTTCTGAAACACAGCATACATCAATG